CTGTACTTCCGCCCGCTGCAGGTGCCTCGGGCACGGGCGCCTGCTGCGGCATCGCAGGATCGAGGGGAAAGGACGGATCGACGGGCGGCCCATCCGACGAGGTCGCTGGATCATCCAGCCCCGTCGATAGGCTGGCGCCCGACTTGGGGTGCTTCCCCTTTAAAATCTGGCCCCAGGCATGCCTTCTGCCGTGATCGGACTTACGCTTGGGGTCAGGGGGCCCACAGCACGGCTTGCCGAGATTCCTGACCTGCCCACCGCACGTATAGTAGCAACAGCGGGTGCAGGCGACAAGCAAGCCCCCTCCCTGATTCACATCAAAATAGATGGGTCTGTGCCCATGGTCCAGCAGCCCTTGGCCTGTGATGCCTTTGATGGTGGCCGCTCCTCGGCACCTTCCAGGGTGAGGCTTCTGGGGGCCACGGGCACACCGAAAACACGAACTGCAAATCCAAAACCTGCCTTCCCAGGACCAGGAGTGAGAAGGGAGGAGAGGCCTCAAGGAGGGGGGGGGCTTGGTCCTGGAGGCCTCCGAAAGATCAAGCCTCGGCCAGAGAGGCATGACCCGCGCAGCGAGCCTGCAGACCGCCCTCGCAATACGCGCCGAGCGCGCGGCCCGCTCAGCGTCCACAGGGGCGGGGGCCGGGTGCCTCAGGGCGGCGAGGCGAGCGGCCTGGTCAGCAGTGTCATTGCCAAGCTTGTGGGCCCTCGCCTCATCTGAGAGGTCGGGGCTGTCGAGGACATGCCCCTTGACCTTACTGACAGCACTGGCGATAGGGCCCAACGCCTGAAGCATAAAACCCGCATACGGTCGGCGAAAAGACAGCCGCGCTGGGATAGGGTCGAGAGCGGCGGAAACCACATTCTGACAGTCACTGTAGATGTGACTGCCCTCCACCCCACACTGGGCGGCGATACAATATGCGGCATACTCAGAAGCTTGAGAAGTTTGGGGAAAGTGGGCCAGGAGCGGCCCAGAAATAACACACAGCACTTCTCCTGCTTCTGAGACGCTAACCACAGACCACCCCGCCCTGGAGAGCTCAGGAGACACATTCCTAAAACAAGAGCCGTCTACATATAACCTACCGCAGACGGAGGTACTGGCGTTGCACGGGTCCCCAGCCCAAGACACCTGAATCCCAGAACCAGGACCATCAATTTCATGTGCTGGACGGGGGAGGTAGTCTCCAGGGTGTACATAAAGACCACGGGTATACAGTAGGTACTGCTCCGGGGCACTCTGCTCCGAGAGTTCCAGGGGAGGGGCAAGCCAAGCATCCTTCCCTAGTACTTCCTTGCGTAAATCTTCGCAGGCGGGGCAACGCCACAATCTGTGCAAGAGGGTGTCGTCGGCACCTCCACAGAGCACACAAAGTACGTCGCCCTGATCGTAACCAGCACTGCGAGCCCGAGTCTTTGTCCACACAGCCGAGCACGCAAGGGCCTTGATAGAGCCCTTCTCCCGCGGGGTCCACTTGGAGGATTGCAACATAGCATACACCTGATCATGACAAACACGAACAGGCTGCGGAAGAGAGGGCAGAGACTTGGCGCCTGCGCGTCGCTCATGGAGGTGAAGCACCGCCTGCCTAAGGTGGCGCTTCAGAAGAGCGGGGCTGACCAAGGTGAGCGGCAGGTCCACACCAAACTGGTCCCTCATGACCGTGAAACTGGGCATCGACCACCCAATGCGCTGCAAACTAAGCTTCATGGCGCTGATGGGCCCCGAGACCTGCTTCCAGTTGTCGGGCCCTGGTCCCAGGAATATGGACTCCCAAGAAGTGCGGAGCTCAGGCCAGGACAGGGTAAACGTAAAAGAGCGCATATGGGTCCCCCAGAGCTCCTTGGCGTACCTCAGGATGGGCGCGATGGGCCCGTAGTACGTGGGGTCCTTTTCCAGGATGACAGCCGAGGTGAGCGAGCGGGACCCAGCCTTGGGCCTGATACAACGACCGAAAGCACGCCGAACACGCCCCCATTCAGCATCAGAAACCCCATGAACCTCACTTCCATAGTAGTACCCTGGCAGAGGGCCTGTGATGAACAGCTTCCTGGAGTGCCTTCCTAAAGCCTGTCGTATCTTCTGCAGTCGTTTGGTCTTGTGCTTGAGCGTGAGCATACGCACCCGAAACACCTTCGACCGAGTAGGGGCCCTTCTAGGCCTGCCCGAAGTGTGATCGATCCCAAGGTTAGCTGCAGAAGAAACAACTCGCTTGCCAGCCAGAGCTCCCAGTCGCTTGCGCAGTTCCACTGCAACATGGCGATGGGAGGCCACAAGGTTGGCCTTGTCGTGCGAAATACTGCCACCTATGTCGTCCACGATGGCATCGTGCAAAGAAGCGGCCGCCCTTGCCAAATCATATACAACTTCCGAAGTAGTTCCGACAGTCGACAAACCATAGTCATCGATGTAGACGTCGAGCGATACGGTGGGAGGGATGCCAGCCGAGTCGAGGGGGCCTATGACGAAAATCCTCACCATCGTCGTGGCGAAGGGACAGCCTGCGACGATGCCGTGCTGTACATAGAATGGGCCACGCAAGAGCTGGCCCATGGTTATGAAGCGAGCGTTGCTATACATGGAGACCACCAGTCGCGCGACGGTCATGTCCATGCCATGCTGGGCACATCTGTGGAGCAAGAGGTCGAGGTTAATCGATTCGAAACACTTGACCAGGTCCCAGAGCAAAATGGCAGAAACCTTGCCGTCACGAACGCCAACCTCTCCCTTCACAGACTGCCGCCAGACCACGTCAGTGGACGAGGTGAACTTGCCAGCTGCAAAAAAGGGGCGACGATTGTTCTCCTCCCATCGCGTGCCGTATCCTCTTCTCCCCTTGCCCCACAACCGATAAATGGAAGAGAAGAGGCCGATGGGTCGGAAGCCCCCAGCCTGCTTGCCGATGAGAGACATTATAGTGATCGCAGCCTGCTTCGGGATGAGGCTGCTCACTTCCATAGCTGTGTAAATGACTGATAGGAGGTCGAGCGAGGCATCCGACAGCGACGCGAAGTGGCGCATGTGAAAGCCGTCGACCGAGGTAGCCGTCGTTTTGGGAAACTTGCGACTACAAGCCCTGAGATCGTCAGGAGCCAGCTGAGGTAAGGAGGGAAGAGGCTGAAAGGTGTCCGACTGAGGCCGAGGGTGCGAGTGAGCGTGCCACAGTTGCTCGTACTGCTTAGCTTGTGCGTCGAGGAGAGCCTGAGGATCAGCCACGACGATACCGTTGGAAAGCAAAGCCGTAGTCGGAGCCCACGGAGTGAAACCACGAACGACCGAGTGCGCACGCTTCGCCCCTGCTTCAACCTTGTCGAGCAGCCACTGCTTCCATCCACTTAAAGCTTCCTGTTGGGCGATAGCTTCAGCAGCAGCCACAGCGACATCGAGCTGAGCACACAGATCCCCGTAGACGTCGGAGTCGTGAGAACACTGCACTGCTGCACAAACTTCATTATACCACCGCTGATGATGAGCCAATCCTTCATGCAAAAAGACGGGTGGATTCAGGACGACCCGACGTAGCTCCCTGGCCTGCCTGACCGCAACGGGGCCAGGAGCGTCGAGTAGCGAAACGTACATTCTGAACTTCAAACTCAGCCACTTGATTGCGTAGCACAGGGGCTGTCGCACTGGGGGCTTCCTGTCCTGCTCCAAAACCAAAGCCCAGTACATCTGCGGGGCCTTGGACCGTGCTCCTAAACATGGCAGTTGGACGCCCCTCGAGTCGGCCAACTCACGCTCAGAAAGATTAGCCCAAGCCGCGTACACCGCATCCAACGAGTTCTGGACAGTCCGAGTGTGCCCAGATTGCAGCACATCCAATAGCCGCTGCCCAAGGGCCCTCGCAGAGTCCCAGTTTGGAGGCTGAGGCTGAGGCCCAACTATAGGATCCACAGGGATAGGTGGGGGTCGGCGGAACCTCAGTCCGTATAGCTGCGCCAGCTGCGGATAGAATTCCAATGACACAGGTGAGTGTGGTGATGTACACGCACCAAGCTCAACCTGGACTTTCGCCAAACCTTTAGAAAGACCCAAAGAGACCACGAAGAAATCCAGAAGGCGGGTCCCTCCAGTAGAAAGGCAGGATCCAGAAGCAGCCTCAGGAATCACCACACGTCCCCCACAGGACTTTGCAAACTCAGACTCCTGAAAAACCGACGGTTCCATGTTAAAATCAGCTCCCAGGATATACGGTCCAGCCCACACCTCCAATGCGGCGGCCACGTGCGAGAGGAGCCCCAGGTTGTGGTCGCTGAGCCCCTGGGAGTGATGGAGGTACGCACTGACGACGTACAGCGCGTCGCCGCCTGGGATATTGACGATGGCACCTGCGACCCTATTAGGGACCAAAACGTGACCACCTGGCGGGGGCCGAAGGCCCAGGAAATCTCTGACCATGATGCCTACTCCAGCCGACGTCCCCCCCGACGGGGTGGAGAGGGCGGGAGTGAGGAGGATTTGCCACCCGTGAACCTTGGCCCAGGACGAAGCTCGGTCAGCTTCATCACCGAGGCGCAGGTGGTGCTCCTGGATCAGGATGATGTGCGACGTGCAATGCGGGAGCCATCGCTGCAGCGATGACCATGCAGTGCAATTGAGCGTCTCTACTTTCAGGGAAAATTGAGCTCTCCCAGGGGGTGGGGGTGGGGTACAAAACTTGTGGACGGGGGCGGCTGCAGCCCACCCCGTCTCACGGAAACTACTGGTAGCCTGGGCCGAGGACTCCAGGGGCCCAGGCGTGAGCATCTGGCCAGGGCCCCCACGCGGGCGACAGGACGGGGCCACAAGATGCTGGTGAGACGTAGGATCAAAACTCGCCCTCCTGACCCTAGCTCTCGCTCGGGCGGCCAGAGCCTGCGACGAGGAGTTGGTCAGACGGGCGATGGCGTAAGCCAGGATATTGTGCGAGAGACCGTGCCTATGGGTGCGCCCACGCACACCCCGCGCATTAAAACCTCCACACTGAACAAAATTGAGCTCGCTGAGTCCCCCCCTGCTACGCACTGGCTTTGTCAGCAGCGGCAGCAGGGGGGACACGCACTGAAGCAGCCTTGATCTGGGCCGCAGCACGCTCACGAATGCTGGTAGCCGCTGGCGTCGGAGGAGGGGCTGCTGGGGTTCCCGCGGACCGAGCAGAAGGCGGTGCAGAGTCCGCGAACCCGACCGACTTGTCCCTGTCCTTCGCCTTGGGGTCCTGACTGGCTGTGGTCGAGTCCAGCTTCGCGCCTGCCAGGGGGCCTGCAGCCGCACCTTCACCTGATGCACCCTTGCGCTTCTTCTTCGTGAGGCGCGCGACGTGGGCGGCCTGCTCGGCCTTGATGGCCTCCAGCTTCTCGAGTGCGCCAGAGAAGAGGCCCTTGGCAACGTCCTGCAGCTGGGACCGCAGCAGATCACGGCGGTCAGCGATGTTCTTGCGGTCATCATCCGAGCACTCGTAGCCATCCACGTCAAACACAGAGTCGACGTCGATGAGGTCGATGATGCTGCCAGTGCCGTCGACCACCTCCTTGATGGAGATGCGAGGTGGAGCTGGAGAGGCAGCTCGATCAGGTCGGTCACCGACCAGAGAGGCAACTGCAGCCCTGTACTCGGCGTCGGCCTGAGATAAGCGCTCCGTGAGCTCTGCGACCGTGTCCGCCTGCTGGGCCACCCACTGCTGGTACTGCTCGAGCTTCTGGACTTCCTTCTCCAAGACCGTCTCGAGCTCGGCGACCTTGGCACCGATGGCACTGATACGCTGCTGTGGCGGGGGATCACCAACCTTCTGAACTTGCAGCTGCTGCTTGTAGCGTCCTGCCACGCGCTGGTCCCCTGCCTTCTCGGCCAGGCGCACGAGGTCCTCGAGCTCGGAGACCGTGAGGCTGGGGTCAACAGCAGGGCCTGCATCGCCACCGTCAGGAGGAGGAGCACGCTGAGGAACAGAGGGGCGCCGCCGCACTGAGCCTTCCAATGCAGCATCCGCCCCTTGGCTGGGCGCCTCGGTGCGCCACTCTCCGCAGTGCTTGCAATAGACCATGGAGTCGAGGTTGCGCGCACAGCTGCACCATGCGCAGCGCCACTTGGTCTCGCGCTCGGCGCGGCGAGAGGGAGGGCGGCGCACCTGCCACGGCGCAGCGGCCTGGCTGGGCGACCGAGGGGCTGCGTCAGTCGCGCCCTTGCCCTTCCCTCCACCGCTGGCGCCGCGGCCGACCGCGCGGCCCTTGCCTCGCCAGAGGGCTGGGGCCTGGCCGCCGTCGCCGAGCGCCGCCGCGCCCCAGGATCCAGCACCGCCCCTGCCGCCACCGGCGAAGGCCATGGCGGAAGCGTGTCGGTGCCGATTCGAGGGACCGAGCCACTGGCTCGCTACCCCAACGCCGTCCCAAAGTTCGGAGTAGCAAGACCCACCTGGGCCTGGGACGGCTAAAAATCATGAAGGCCGAGGAATAGAAAGGCGAGGAGGCGGAGGAGGAGGAGACCGATGAGGAAGAGACAGACGTAGGAGGCGGAGGAGGAGACGGATGATGATGATAATGATGATGATGGTGATGATGCTGATGATGATGCTGATGATGATGACGATGATGATGACGATGCTGACGATGATGATGATGACGATGATGATGATGATGACGATGATAATAATGATGACAATGATAATGATAATGATAATGATAATGATAATGATGATGATGATGATGATGATGATGATGATGATGATGATGATGATGATGATGATGATGATGATGATGATGATGATGATGATGATGATGATGATGATGATGATGATGATGATGGTGCTGCTGCTGCTGCTGCTGCTGCTGATGATGATGCTGAGGAGGAGGAGGAGGAGGAGGAGGAGGAGGAGGAGGAGGAGGAGGAGGAGGAGACGGAGGAGGAGGAGGAGCAGGAAGAAAAGCAGGTGCGTTCCCGCTTGGGCGCGGCGTTCTGATTTCTCGCCGAGTCGTCGGAAGCAGGGCCGCCGCGCCTTCATCCTGCCAGGCGGAAGCGCGCGCCAGGCTCAACCTCCAGCTGCGCCATGGGAGTGCACGGCCCCTCTGACTCGTTCGAGCTGGCTGGGAGGGGGAGGAGCTGGAGCTGGAGGAGCAGGAGCGGGGAAGCCTGGAGGGCTCCTGCACCAGAGCTCCGATCACAGGCCGGTGCCATCGCGTGCCTCGCACTCGGGGAGACCAAGGTCAAAGGGGAAGGGTTGGCCAGGGCCCCACGGACCCCAGTCCGCGAAGAGGAGAGGTGGCATGACGGGAGCGAGTCCTGAATGAAACGGGCCCTGGACCCCGGGGAGCTCCCACGCGACCAACTTCTCATCCCGAGCCGCTCTTGGTGGTGGCCCTGGGGCCCGTGCATGGCCCCAGGGACCGGAAGCTGCAACAGGAAACACTTCCGGGACCCGTGCACGCCAGGATTGGAGCCTTGCACGAGGGGGCGGCGCGAGGGCGGGGGGGCCTTGTAAGAAGGAGGGGGCCACCTCTGGAAGGGCCTGAAGGCACGGCAGCCACACGGGGGTGGAGGAGGAGGAGGAGGAGGAGGAGGAGGAGGAGAGGGAGGAGAGGAGGAGGAGGAGGAGGAGGAGGAAGGAGGAGGAGGAGGAGAGGAGGGAGGAGGGAGGAGGGGAGGAGGAGAGGGAGGAGGAGGAGCAGGAGGAGGAGGAGCAGGAGGAGGAGGAGGAGGAGGAGGAGGAGGAGAAGGACGGAGCAGGAGGACGGAGGACGGACAGGAGGACGAGGAGGAGGAGCAGGAGGAGGCTCGACGCAACAAGCTCGTTCTTCATGCCTGGTCAACGCCAAGAGGAGCAGGAGGAGGCTGGAGCGCGCTCGCGGGGCGAGGGCGCTGCACAGCCCGCGGCACGGACGAAGTGCTTCCTGACAGTGCATATATCCGCCGCCCTGCCCCCGAGGCACGGGTAGGAGCGCATTGGGACGCACAGAGACATACGGTGGGGGCATTGGATCAGGAACCCTTCGATCAGGAATCCAGGGTCTGGAGGCCGGTGGAACTCCAATTGACTGCCAATTGAGGCTCGGCCATGGATATCACCGCCACCCTCATCAGACAAGGGATCCTCAAGGGTCTGAAGCTCTCCGGACACATTCCTGAACCAACGCCCCCACAATGCGATGTCTTGACTTTTTCCCCGCAGTCCCGACCCCTCCCCCAAGGCCCGCTCTTCATCCCGGGTCGTTTTCCGGCGGCCCCGAGGCACGGCGAGGGCACCCGGAGGCCGAGAATGGCGAAATGGGACAAAACCGCCCGTCGCGATGTTCACTGGGACGCACAACAATATAGGAGTACTACAGGTCCTCCTTGGAGGCGCGCGTCCGACCCGAACATCTAGTATACCCATTGTGTAGTAGATCGTTTCCCGAGCGGTGTGGCCAGAAAGCGCCCGCCGCGACGCATATGCTACAAGGTTTCTCGGTGCGCGCGTCGCCCTTGGGGGGGCGACGCGCACATAGTATTAGAATGTTTGTTGGGGTGACGCCGATGCATTCGAACGCCAGCTCTCGGACCGACGAGTTGTTCTGGAGGTCTCGGAGTTTCTATCTGCTTCCTGGAGGTTGTCTCGCCTCGGGAGGCTCCCCTGGGGGGCCACATGCGAACCCTACCCCTACCCCCCACGATTTCTGAGGGGGAGGGTGGGGTTCACTTCGTTCGGGAGCTCCCAAGCGAAGTGAACCTCACCCTCCTTCTCAGAAATCGTGGGGGGTAGGGGTAGGGTTCGCATGTGGCCCCCATATCCCCGGCAGCTGCGCCTCGCCGAAAGCGCTCTGGGCGTGCCAGAGCCGTCCCGAGCGGTCGCCAGAGGCCCGAGGCGTGACCCGGAGACCCGGGTCTCCGACGACGTGATTCGCTCAATCCCAGCGGGGCTGGTTTGAGCGCCACTTCCCGCCGTGCCAGCTGGGCCGCTCGGGTAACACTTGTCCATCCCAGCGCTCTTCCTCGCTGTTGGCCTCCGCGGGGTGTCTTCTCTGGGGCGCGCAGGCATGGACTAGCGATCCACGGATTTGGCGCGCGGTCGCCAAATCCATGGATCGGGGGAGGTGCTCCCCAAAATGCGGCCGGTGCCGCCTCGCTCGGCGGCGGAAATCCGCGACTTGATCCATGTTTGCGATCGCCTGATTTTCGGGCTCTGGGACCATCAACAGCAACGCCAGGGCGAAGCACTGCTCCCCCAGGGAAGCGGTCGGGACCTGGAGCTGCGCGATTGAAAGATCACGCCGCCGGATGTGTGGGAGAGCTCGGGTGCCCCCTCGGGCAGGGTCGGTCTGCGCCGGAGCAGCACATCGGCTCGTCTCGGAGCGCGCGGCGGGTCGCGCCGCATCGGCACGGGGCACGGGGCAGGGGTCGAATCGGATCGGCTGCGCCGAGACGCGCGAGGAGCGCCCGTGCGAGCACCTGGCCGCGCTGGAACGTCGGGGTGCCGGGTTCGAGTCGGGTCGAGCAGGCCAGGCATCGACGTCGACGGGATCGATCGGGTCGATCCAGCGGGCCGGGAAGCCGCCGTCGGGGCCGCGCAGCTGCCCTGAAGGCCCCCCCGAGGGCTGGAGAGCCGCTCGGAGGCAGCGGAAACGTCCCAGAACCGATCCCTGGACATCTTCGAAGGGGCGCGTGCTGACCAAGAGCTTCGGGGCGAACTCCGCCGTGGACAGGAGGGTGCCCCAAGGACGAGCAGGAGCCCCCGGACAGGATACATAACGTCGATCGATGGGCGCTTGGGGGCCGAGGCGTTCCCCCTGAGCCTGCCGCCCCTGACCCTAGTCCGTATCCGCCCCCCCTAATTAGAGTTGGGTCGGCCATGTCCTTCACAGGCGGGTTTTCGGTGAAAATGCAACAATAGTCAAAACAGATTCAAGCATATTCATATGTAGTCGAAACATCGTCCCCAATACTATTGCTTCACTGCTTGTGAATATTGCTCCTGCATGGGGACGTGCCCGACTTAATACTAGAGGAACGGCAAAAAGGCATACATATGTGGTTCTGCTCATTTTTCGCCGCCAGAGATGAACCACGTATCCGATAGCACTGAAGGGCGTGCGAGCTGACCAGAGGCGTCACACAGATCGGAGGCACCCGAAGACATTTATCAGGATCCCCCCCGCTTTGCTGAGCAGGAGGGTGAAAAGGGGTAGGCTTGGGAATAGCACGAAAAACTTGAGCCATCGTGTCAATGGACCGATGCTGCAAGGACGGCGGTGCTCCAACACCGCAGACAACATTCCCGAACAAGCACATACACGTGGATCTGCTCATTTTTCGCCGCCAGAGATGAACCACATATCCGATAGCACTGAAGGGCCTGCGAGCTGACCAGAGGCGTCACACAGATCGGAGGCACCCGAAGACATTTATCAGGATCCCCAATCCCAAATTCGTGGAAATGGCCAACGGCCTACGCGAAGCGCTGAAATAACAGCTCACATATATGTTCTACAAATAATTGCGGATATGGTTGGACAACTCAAGTCTTGTATTTCCCCATTGCACTCTTACCTGCAAGTTGCTCGTGTCTCTTATTAGTGGCCGAGCACCTGCCTCTACTCTTGACACATCTCTTGATAGCCGAGAGCTCTGGACATTCAAAAGCCAGCAGGGACGTGTTTTTCTGCCACGGCGTCCCATACTGGCAAAAGCTAGAGGTATACATTTCGGCCCCGAGACGCTTGAGCGAGTTGAAAGGACGGGTCAGCCAAATTCTAGAGGTGAATGGATTCTCAATGACGACGCGCACATTGGCAAGGATGCACGCGCGGGCGAGCGTGGCCGATGCACGCATCAACGTGTTGCCTAGGCGGACCTTCGCAGAATCCTTGTCACAGAAGCCGGGGGCGCCGAGCAGCCCTGGCCCCGAATCTCGGAGGGGGGCGGGACCAGCCCCCCCTCTCCGAGCTCTGGACCAGGAGGTGCAAGGGGTCCCCAGCCAGACGAGACGGCAGGCAGGCGAGACAGCGAGCTCAAGGAGGGCCGCCCAGGCCTCCGGTCTGAGGATGTCTTGGCTGGCCGAGTGCGCAATGCCGAAGGTGTAGACGCGGTAGCCTCTGCGGGCCAGCTCGAGCGAGAGGCGACGGCAGCCGGCGAAGACCTCGATGCAGTAGCCGCGCCTCTTGCGGACACCAGGCGGCGGCTCAAAGACGCCGTGAGGGCGCTTGGCAGCGATTGCAGGGCAGCCAGAGCCGCCGTCATCACGGCCCGCGGCAGCTGGGCCTCTTCTCGCTGAAGCCGGGCCGCCGCCTCGTAACGTCTCATCGAGGCGTCGGCACTCCAGCGGCCGCGCTGCTTGACCTCCAGCGGCGCCCTCGC